GCAGTGTCATAGAAGCCACATGCCCGGCCACACACAGCTGGGAAGTGGGCGAGCTGTGTTCCAACCTCGGCAGTCCAACAAGCTCGGTTTGAAGAACGCTGCTGCCCTAAATATAATTGCCTTTTAACATTTTTTTCCTTTTCCTCTTGCTTACCAAAATTACACATTTGAGATTTACAAGGAAGAAAAGGAAAGTAACTCCACCCTCCAGAGATAAACAGTGTTGAAGATTTTGAAAACACAGACGCACCCACACTGACTAGTTCCAATGTTCTGAACACTGTGTGACTTGGGAAGAGTTGCCTAACCTCTCTGAGTCCTTGTCTTTCAAATAAGGGAGCTGGATGAGCTGTGTCAGCTCGGCAGGCTCCCAGCCCTGAATGTGGGGATGGTTTGCAAGGATTGCGTAATAGCAGTTGGCTCTGTCCTAATGCTTGGGTGTGGAGGGTGAGGTCAGCCCTTGCCAGCCACTCATTGTAGGCCTGGGTGGCGTTCAGTCTGCCTGCCTGGGGCTACACACTGAATGGCTGTGGAAAGGTGCAGGGACCCTAAGGCTCCAGCTGGGGTCCTAGGAGGCCCCAGGCTGGTTCCAGGCACTGCCCTCCCTACTCAGGGAGGAGAGTACAGAGCCAGCTCAGAGGCTAAGGCTCTGGCCAGTGGCTGCCTGGCCTCAGCTGGAAGGACTAAGGCCTCAACACAGCAGGGTGACCTGGCTGGATGCCTGGGCCCATCTCTTGAGACAGACAGAGTTTGGATCTGTGTCTAATGGCAGGTCACCACTCGGGCCTATTTCCTTTCTAAACTTTGAGGTCCATCAGCACCCCCCAGGGTCTCCCACAAGCTCAGGAAAGGCCACCTTCTAGGGCCCAGCATGAGGAAAGGCTCAATAGGCGTGAGTTCTAGCCCTTTTTTTTCTGCTATTTTTCAACATTTAAAAAATCCGACCCTCTCCCTGAACAGAGCGGATTGCTCCATTGTGGTCCATCAAGATAAAGGAAGCTCAACCCAGTAAAGTCATGCCACCCTTGGCCATGTGCATGGTGCCTGCCCTGTGCACACCTTGTTCAGTTACCCACCATTTTATACTGGACCCCTGGACTGCTCTGATGCTGAATGCCCTTCCCTGTCCATGCCCCACAAGAACTTTGGGTCACTTCCCCCAACTTTGCTCCCTTTCGGCAGGAAGCAGCTTGGAGATGTCGTCACCCGTTTTTCCACAGACATGGAAGGTAGACTGGACCGTGGGGGCAATGCAGCAGTGTCCACTTGAGATGTAGCCCTTGCTGCTCGGCCACTGCAATTGATTTTTAAAATGGACATGTTTCTTCCTTTCCTAATCTCAGGGGAAATAGGATTACCTCTCTCCCCATCCCCAGCAGAGTTATCCATCCTGAGGACACACCCACCATAGGAAGGAAGGAGTCCAGACTGGGGGATGGTGCCAGAGGGCCTCAGAAATGACCATCTCCCCAATTAACTAGTGAATTCAACTCCAGACAGAGAACAAGGGAAACACAGCCTTTAAATCACCTCTTTAAAAGCCCCCTGTTGCTGCTGATGGGCAGAATCATAGCCTCTGGGATAGGAGTCCCCTGTGTTTCTCTTTTGCTAGCAAAGTAATAAACCTTCCTTTGCCTTTTTCTCAAAAAAATTCTACCTTTTCACATATTGTGGAACGACTGTGTGCCACCAAAGGCAACAGGTGGGGGACTTGGAGGGGAGAAGACAGTCCCGCTGTCAAGTGAGTAACTTTCACCCTTTCACCCAGTCAGACATCAGGTCCCCCAGGCCCGGGAGGAAGATGTGGAAGACTCTGGGGAGTCTCCCTGACAGCACTTCTGGCCTCACGTCTTGTGTGGTGGAAGACCCGATGGCATTCTGGCTGGACAAGGAGGGCAGAGTGAGCAAGGGCCCTGGTGGGAAAGAAGGAGAACATTGAGGAAACCAACCCACCAGCGTCAGCCAGGAGTGGGAGCTGAGGGGGACAGCCAGCCAAGGGAGGACCCCATGGGGCTGTGGATGGGGTGGGACACAGGGAGCCCCACGAGGTCCCTGAGCCTGATGACCACCACATGGTGAAGGGGCTGCGGACTCTGAGAGAGAGCGCGCGCGTAGCTGGGGCGCTGTTCCCTCTCCTGTGAGCAGACCCAGGTGTGGTCCACCCTGGCCCTGTCCTCCCAGTTTGTCTTTGTCCTACATGGGCATCATTCCCAGTTTACAGAGGGGGAAGCTGAGGCTCAGAACTGATGAGCTGCCTGCCCACAGGCACCAGGCAGACGGTGGCCAGGTCCACTTTCTGATTGCCATTCCTTTCCTGTGATCCCAAGACAGATCCGAAGCTGGCCCCAAGCAGGGCCAGGAGCATGCTGCTCCCTCCCTCCTTCACAGGAGGGGGCTCACCAGGTGTGGCTTCAAGGCCACACACTGAAGGTGGGGAGTCCAGGCTCCTCCTCCTCACCCCTGCAGCCACCAGGCTTATCCCCAAGCCCACTAAGAACAGGGAACCAGGTGAGAAAGGCCCAGCTCTCGCCTGGGTCTACGTCCTCGGATTCATCCTGCTTCTTCCCACGACAGCCAGGTCCACAGCTGTCTTTCTGCCCTGCCCTCGTGGACTCTGGTCTCTCGTCACCTGACCGTGCCAGCCTCTCTCTGGCTCTGTCGCAGTCAGGGGCAGCATCCCCTGCTCCTGAGTCATCTGGGACCAGGGCAGCTACACTTTTACCATGTCTCTGCGCAGGTGGCCCAATGACCTGTGTTGTAGGGGTCAAGGACAAAACTTCCCTGAGCTGAGCTGTCCCACCCACATCTCTGAGAGTCTCCCATGAGCTGGGCCTGGCAGTGACCTTCGGATGCCAGTGCTGGGGAAACCCAACAGATTGGGCGAATCGTAAGGAGAAGGCAGCTGGACCCTGCTTGCCTATACCCACCTCCAGGGCCTCACGCCAGCCACAAGGTCAGCTGCTGTAGGCCCACCCAATGGAGGTGGCCCTGGAGGCTCAGAAAGGAGCAGTGAACCAGCAGCAGGGGCTCCAGCCTCCTCTCTCTGCCCTTTCCCACAAGGGGTAAAAGGCAAGCCCAGAGGGCACAGACACTGGGCTCCACGGCAGGGCCATGCTACCACCATGATATTTGTATAAAAAGCTGTCTTTCTGAAAAAATTTGGGCAGGGGAAGGCATAATGAGTGTTGTTGGTTAAAAAAAAAAAATAGGGACAAATCAAGTCGGTATGCTGTGAAAAGACCAGCAGCTGACACTGAATGAGTCAATGCAAAAAGTATGTTGAGGTCCTCAGCTGAATAAGTAGGATAAACAAATAAAGAATGTCTTCACCTTCTTTCTCTCTTTTGAGATACCGGGAGGGCGCAGCTCTTATCTGAAGACTGCTTTGATGTTTTCCTCGAACTATGGTCAGAGGAAGGTAGAAAATGCCCTTTAACACAAAGTTCAGTGTCCTGAACTTCTAGAAGAACCCAGGCGGAAAGTTTGCGCCTGCGAGGGCACTTAAGTTAAGGGAGGCAAATGCAGAAGTTGTTCTGATCCCCAGAGCAACGACACAGAGTGGCCAGCAAAGCCCCTCCCCCTAGGCAGGGGAGGAAACCGCAGAATGTTCCTGACTCGGCACCCCAGCGCGGGTGGCGCAATGTTTATGTTTGTGTATCTACTACGTCCATATCACCGCCGCGGGCTCGGCTGCCCAGGGGCCTGGGGTTGGGGGGCAGGTCCCGCAGGGGGTCTTGCCTGGCGTTTGGGTGCAGGTCCTGGCGACCCGCCCAGAGCGCCGCGGGATGGGGTTCCGAGTTCGGCCTGTGCAGATGCAGGGGTCAGGGAGTGGCAGGTGGGCCGGCCGGCTCGTGTGGGGGTTGAAGCCCCCGAACCTGGCGCACCGTAGGCGCTCTATCAGCGCATATTTGTGGAGTGAGGAAAGGCATGGGGAAGCGCGGTCTTGAGCCAAGGAGACAAAGCGTGTCTGGCGGCCCCTCGGGGGCGCTGTCGGGCTGCGCGGTGGGTCGCCCGGGTTCCCCCACATGTTGAACCCCCGGAATCCGCAGTCAGCCTCGAGGGCCGCCCGATTCCCGGTCCCCGATTCGTCCTTGGCTCACCTCTTCTGGGGACCACCTGAGCAGGCAGGGCAGTTTTTCAGTGGGGGCATTTTCCTTGCCCGTAGTTTAAAAAAAGAAAGGAATTAAAGCTACAGTATAAACTGGGAAACAGGAAGACGTTTCCCGAACCTCTCCGGCCCGACTCACCCTGGCCATCCTAAGTACACATCTAAGTGGGGACAAAGTCATCAGTTTTCTCTAACCCTCATCTCGGGGTCCTTTCTGCTGCCCCCACCCGGAAGCGTGATGCTGGGCAAGTTGGTCACTACTCCTTGGGAACCCGTTTCCCCACCCCTCGGCGGGAAGGCAATGAAAGCAAGGGGCCCGTCTGTATGCAAAATCGCGGGGGTCGAGAAGGAGGTCTCCGAAGCCGGGGAGGGCAGCGGGCGCCCGCAGGTGGCACGGGGCGCGCCCTCCTAGCCGCTGGCGACCCGTTCAGCCCTAGCCTGGCAGCACGCCGCCTTCTCCCGCGGGCTCGGGAGAGCGCGGCTGGCCGGGCCTGGGGG